AAAGCAGAAGAGTGAATACATATATCTGAAGAACAGAAAGGGAAAATAGCCATCGAGTGACGATAAGAATATGTATATTGAAACATGGCAACTATTGATATGAGATTAGGTTACCTACTTCCTAACATAGATTTGTGGAGGTAAATTCATTCAGTCTACAAGCAGTAGACAGCGAGGACAAGTCATAAGACTGTCCCTTGTGGGACTAAGGTTTTATTATAGAAAAATTAAGTAAATGGAAAGAAAATTATTTTATTCGCGTATGAAAGAGTAGAATATAGAGTGCTGATCACTAAAGAATGTGATGAAATTGTACTGTATCCTTATCTTATCAGAATCTTATAGAAATCTTATCAGTTTCTTATATAAGATTCTTATCAATATCTTAGGCATTTCCATCGACTGCCTTCTATAAGATTTCTATAGGAATCTTATATAAGATTTGATCTCTAGGGAAGTAATCAATCAAAGAGTAATTGATAATAATTACTTTCTATCATTATTAATTGATTCAAATAAACATTGTAGACAAGTCGATCATCAACAAAACATCAAAATTAATAATAGCAATGAATCTAAGTGTAAATCGAATTATCCCCTGTTTCTTAAAATGCAAAGTCATTACAGACAATATTGCACAGTTTTTGCCTTTAAAGTGTGCCGAAAGCCAGAAGTTCAAAAAATTCCATGCGAATCAGATCTATTTTTATTCGTGGAATTTTTACACATTGTGACAAAATGCTTTGAACAAGAATAATCAGAGCAGAATGGAACAGAATGGATAAATTATGTTTGAATTAAATACCTATAGGACAACAGAGTTGAAAAAGCGTATGAAATTACTCTCATATTGCATTAGATGCATGCAATGTAAAATACGCTACACAATTTGCAAAGAAACACAGTTCATCCAAATTATGTCAGAATACCAAGATGCTCCATAGTTTTTCTGCGCATCTCTCACGCTACGGTTTTAAATTTTATGCTTTATTACACGATTTGTTTTTCTCTTTGAATCTCACCACCTCTTATTTGTACTGCTCTCTGACTGAGTTTCTATTCTAACTTACTAGCTATCAAAGTTAATGTCTGCTTGCCCTAGTATCTACAACGCTAATAAATGCACATTACTTTCATAATGAGAAGAAAATTTCTTACTTACCACTGATAAAAACTTCTCCTATTTCATCGACATTAACTGCTTGCATTTCATCATTTAAAATATAATATTGATAACCTGGCAGTGGACATCCAATTGGTATAACAGTAGCTGTATTTATTACATGAGGATGAATTATAACGATAAGCTGTTATATTACCACATTCACTTGTACCGTAAATATTATAAATTCTAGCATTTGCTGATAAATGTAATGCTAATCGAGAAACAAGTTTTCGTTTCAACGTTTCGCCTAAAATTCAAACAAAAACAACAGCCAAATATTAGTACATAAAAGAAAATAAGATTTTACAAATATTTCTACCTGCTGTAAAAGAAGTTTTGAATTGCTTTTAAACGATGATCTTGATTTGTTGTCTTTAAAAATTGACATAGTATTCTCATCGTTGAAGGACCACACAGATGTTATCTGTTGAGTTTCAATAATCTTAGTGAGGTAATCAAAATCTTTATTACCATCAAGTTTTAACATTACTAGAGTACCACCATTCGATAAAGAACTAAGTATTTCATATAAATGTAAAATCCATAAACAACTAGCTATTTAAGCAATGTTAGCGGTCTGATTGTAAATATTTTCTTGATCTAATAATTTAGTGTACACTGAAAGGTTTCTATGCAAACTATGTATAGCTTTTGATTTTGTAGTTATTCATTTATGACGTCCAGATCGAAAATTTTTTTCTTTTCTCATGGTTTTTAATGCTATAAAGCCATTCTTGTTTGGGGAAAGAAAACTGTCCAGGTAGCAGACGCGCATTAGGAGAACGTTGATGAGAGCATCAATTACATGTTGAAAGAGGCGTAATATTGCGAGAAATATCTTCTCTAAAAACACGTTGAGTCTATCCACCAGTCATAGATTGAAATTTTCAAAAATGTATTTTTCTTAACTTTTTCTTATCTTTTTACAAGAAAGTGCAACTCTTTCAATATTTTAGTTTACATCCAAGTAAGAAATGCATGACTCTCAACTTTGAGATCACTCAAAAGTGTAAAAAAGCCTAAACAAAATTTTTTTCAATTTTTATAAGTTCAGCTTTAAAAAGAGAATAAGAACAAATGAAACTTTAAAATGTTGTAAACATGGAACTTTTCATTTTGAGACGACATTTATTAGAAGGTGCTTTGTGTTTTTCTAAAGCAACGAAAAGAGAAGACAAAAAAGACTACATTGCTCTGTTCATGATTTAGAAGATTGATCAGACCGGCTTGTCCATGTAACTCGAGACTTCGCTGATCAAGTTTTTGAAAAAATTATTTTAGAGTAGAACTGAAAGGAGCATATTACTAGATGCAGTTTTTGGCATTGATCATGAATCTCACATTATCGTTTTAAAAAAGTTAAATTTTGGCACCAAAAATCCAGTTTTATATTTTTTGAAAACTGTATTTTCAATTTCCTCACCTAGACACTTTCACAATAAAACTGGTAGGCCACACTAATCGGTAGAGAATTCGATTCTCTACAAGATGGTATGTTTCTTTTGAAGTTTAGACTCAAAACAAGCTTTTTAATAAAGTTTTAAGCTTTAAGATTCTCACACAATTCTAAGAAAGTGAAAACATTTTTTCAGCTTTATTTTCACGTTAGTCTATATTAGATGCCTAAAACTAAGTGATGTGAAAATGAAATCCTTTTATTTCTCCCCATTTCCGCCTTTTCACCAGTTTTTCTCGAAAACAAAGCATACACAGCAGCTATGTCGAACAAAAGAGTATTCGGGACTGATTCAATATTCATGACGTTGTTTTTCAGCATTCCGCTAATCTCTTCTTGTAATTGCCAATATTTCAAGCTAATGTCTTCGATTGGCTTAGATTCGTATTTGTTCATTGTCATAGTGGAATTTGCCAAATCGCCGGGCGATGAAGTTGGACTCATCGATTTACCTTGCGATCTGAGCGTTAGTTCATCGCGTATAAATCCTGACTGCTGCTGATCTTTACATCTGTTGTATATAGCAATTAATTCCGATGTTTGTAACGTATTGAACGATGTATCCACTATCGGGTTTTCGTTGACCTCATTTTTGAAACTATGGGCTGTTGTTTTGATGTTCGTGGTCTTCGTGAATCTCGTTCTTCTTCCTCCTCATTTTCTTCTTGACTAGCCTCACTGCTGTCACTCAATTCCCCAATCTGCGGCTTCTTCTTTTTCTCCACTTTCTTTTTAGGATTTAAGGGAAGTTTCGTAATTACTATCCCGCTATCACTTTCGGACGGAATCTTGCGCTGTAGCTTTACTCTTTTTCTGTCACCTGCGTTTTGCTTATTGACAATAGCGAAGATAGCACTATTTAAATTTTCTTGTAGAAGGGCTTGATTTGCATTGTTTACAAAAGCTTTTTTCGCGTCATCGGTAGACTCGGTGTTAATGATATCCATTTGTATAAGCGGTTGATTTGCTTTCTGATCATCTTCAAGCAATTTACAAAATTCACTTAAACTTCGAATAACTTCGTTTGCTTGTTGTTTAGCTTCAATATTTCTTAATATTATTGATTCAGTTTTCAGTTGTTCAGTCATAGCATAGAGTTCTGTGGCCAGGTTGAAACCCTTGCATATTGCTTTTAAGTCATTATATTTCTGTTTGATATCATCAATAATTTGTTTCATTGCCTTTTGTAGCAATAACTTGGCATCGCTGCTATTTTTTTTTTTATGTAAACCATCGAAAAGCTCATAAAACGTCGGCTCATAGGTGAAAATATCAAATCTTAGATTTCGACCTGCATAAATTCATAAATTCTAAAAGTTCATAAATTGATAAAGTTGATAAATTCATAAACTCTAGAAGTCGAGAAATTCATAAATTAATAAATCCTAAAAAGTCATAAATTCTAGAAGTCCAGAACTTCATACATTCTTAAAGTCGAGAAATTCATAAACTCCTGAAGTTGATAAATTCATAAAGTAGAGAAATTCATAAATTCTAAAAGTCCAGAAATTCATAAGTTCTTAAAGTCATAAGTTCATAAATTCGCAAGCTCTAAAAGGCGGAAGTAAATGTGAAGTTTGGAACTTTGCTGTTCGATTGACAGCCCTCAAACTTTATATAATGATAGTCCTTCTTAACTATTTTTGGTTGAAGTAACAGAGGCTTTGTATTTTTGCTTTCAGCGTTTCAATGGCTTCGCTGGATGAAATATCTGAGGCTGAAGCTATGAATAAAAAAAGCACGAGATGGTTTACTACAAATGAGGAAGACAATAACATAGTGCATCCGTCATCACAAATTGACAATAGTTCGTCATCTCAAGAGATCACTATCAGCACAGACAGCAGTCGTAGAAGTTCGAGACGTCGGCAGCCAAACATGAGATATTCAAGTAAAGATTACATCTTAGAAAGAATATCATCGGCAATGGAAGCAACAAACCAATCGAGAAAAACAGTCGGTATAGCGATTATCGCTAAGAAGGAAGCCGCAATCGACAACTATTCAGAAACCAGTACCCTAATGGGTTTCAGTATTCGTTGGCCAAAGTGGGGTATTCGTGATTGTTACATTGGGCAAAGAAAGTACCACGTCTTGAATACATGTGCGCTTGACAGCGCTTTATTTCTGTTGTATATAATGTATCAGACTCGCCATACAACCCAAACTGCCATTGACAGCAAAAGAAATATCGATGGGCACAATATTCTGCATGAAACATTCAAGACAGTCATGGCACATGGTTGGGACCACGCACGTTTAATATGGTTACTGCGGCATAATATATTAAATTATAATAATCAAACTGAAATTGAAGATCAGTAAAATGTTTTCGGGAGTACTGATGCAACGGTTTTTCAACACATAAACATCCTGCAAAAACATGTAATACACAGCCGTTGTTCGTATAGTGATTGCCCTCAATTGGAACGTTTAACTCAAAGTTGTCAAATTATATTTCGGTAAAAATAATATGAAATATTGGCAGCGTCATGCCACTTGCTCTAACTTTTCTCATCTATCTCTTTAGCAAAAAGAACGATTGTTATCCAAATGTACTTGAAGATTTTTCATATGAGCAAGCGGGCAGATGTGGCAGATCGGTGCCTGAAAATTTCTGGGGTGACACATTCGAAAGTGATATGTTAATGGAGGATGGTAGTAGACGG